AGGGGATTTTAATGCCCACCATGAGTTGTGGCATTCCGTCCTAGGTAATGACCAGAGGGGATCAGCGCTGGCAGAGCAGATTGACTGCTCCACATTCTGCACGGTTAACGAGGATGCCCCCACCCGAATAAGAGGAGAGTGTCACAGTTCGCCAGACTTAACCATAGTGTCACCCGGTCTGATAAATGACGTAATTTGGCAACCCGTCATTTCTCTTGGCTCAGACCATCTCCCGATAATCGTCTCCATAAGCAGGTCGCCCGACTTCATAACATCTGAACGCCGCACTTTCCTTAACCATGGGAAAGCTCACTGGCCAGAGTTCAGAGAATTCACCAACCGCCGCTTCAGAGAACTGCCCAATCCTTCTGATGTTCGGGTAGCAGAAAGGATTTTCCGAAACATCATCAAAGCTGCAGCCGCTCGCTATATACCTGCTGGTCGAATACCCGAGATAAGACCAAACTTCCCAGCAGAGGCAGCGGGATTAGCAAACGAGCGTGATGATCTCCGTCGTACTAACCCTACTGATCCTAGAATCAGTGATTTGACAGTGGAAGTCAACCGGTTGGTACAGGAGCATAAGAGGAAAAAGTGGCTAGACCATCTGAAGTGCTGCAACATTGCAACCGATATAAGTAAGCTGTGGGTAACGGTTAAGTCGCTCTCGAACCCTGGGAAAAAAGGATGATAGGACCTCAGTCACTTTTAACGACGTAACGATGACTGATCCGAAGAGGTGAGCGGAATATTTTAACCGACATTTGTCGAGCACCCCGAGAGCGATAGGGCGAAGAGTACTACGTAGTATCAGATCTCTTCCCGCCGAGGAGGAACCACCACAGTTTACGATGGGTGATGTTGCAAATGTCATCCGTAACGCTAAGTCATCCAAAGCGTTGGGCCCAGACGGAATCTCAATGGTAATGTTGAAGCAGCTGGATACGCCGGGAGTCGAGTACTTAACTAAAGTTCTCAATTTTTCGCTAGCCACCCACATAGTGCCCGAAACCTGGAAAATGGGCCGGGTGGTCCCGCTACTGAAGCCAGGCAAGGATGCCAGTAAAGGCGAATCGTACAGGCCGATTTCGCTTTGTCGCCAGTAGCAAAGACTCTTGAGGCTTTACTCCTCCCCAGCATTAGAGAAAGCTATACAGCTGCCAACCACCAGCACGGATTCCGTCCACAACACAGTACCACAACAGCATTACACGCCATTTCCACACATATTAGTAGAGGACTGAACCAGAACAGGCCGTGTGACAGAACAGTGTTGGTAGCCCTTGACCTATCAAAGGCATTTGATACGGTCAATCATGCCACACTGTTCGAGGACGTGCAGAGAACTACCCTCCGGCCAAGTTTGAAACGTTGGATAATCAACTATATGTGTGGACGCCAGTCGTACGTGGAATTCCGGAACAAGAAGTCCAAAGCCCGTAGAGTGAAACAGGGAGTTCCCCAAGATGGGGTGATATCTCCGGAACTGTTTAACCTCTACCTTTCCGGAATTCCTCGCCCTCCAGACGGCATTGAGATCGTAACGTATGCGGATGATTGTACGATCATGGCGTCGGGTCCAGTGGTCGATGACATATGCGAAAGGTTGAACCCCTATCTCACAGAGCTTGCCGCATACTTCCACGCGAGGAATATGAAAATATCCGCCACGAAATCAACGGCCACACTCTTCACCAGGTCGAGGGGAATCTAATACCGACCACGAACTACCCCAAGATTCTTGGGGTCACGTTCGACAGCATGTTCAAGTCGTCCGCGCAAGCCACAGCTATCTGCGACAAGATGAAAAGTAGGAACAAGGTCCTCAAGGCGCTAGCCGGCAGCTCTTGGGGTGCTGACAAAGAAACCTTGTTGACCTCTTATAACGCGATAGGTCGGTCTGTGGTCAGCTATGCGGCTCCAGTGTGGTCTGCGAATACTAGTGCTACGCAGTGGAAGCATATCCAGACCTGCCAGAACGCTGCCCTGAGAACTGCGACAGGGTGCCTCCTCATGACCTACATGAGGAGGCGAAAGTCCTTCCCTTACGTCAGCATAATCATATGCAGTACTTGCAGTACCTGCTTGGGTGTTACCGTGAGAGTCATCCCAACCATCATATGGTGGATAAATCTCCCCCACCCAGGCGTGTCAGAAGGACATACATGATCTAGAGAGGGAGGTCCAGCGCTATAAGAGAGAACCTCTAGATCAAGAAGCCTATCAGGCAGGTCTGAGTGGCATTCACACCGATGCAGTCGCGTATGCTATTAGCAGTTTTAAAGTGAATGCCGTCCTCGGAGTCCACCCCCCATCCATTGCAGCTGAAGAACGTCAGCTGCCTAGACAAACCAGGGTAGTTTTGGCGCAATTACGTTCAGGATGGTGTAGTCGTCTCAATTCGTATTTGGCACGAATTGATGAAGATGTGCGTGACGCCTGCCCGGCGTGCGATACAGGCCCGCACAATACGCTACACCTCTTTAATTGCACAGCCAAACCTACCCAACTCACTTCAGAAGATCTCTGGCTACAGCCCGTTAAAGTAGCCGAATTTCTAAACTTGGAGCTGGAACCAGATTAGCAGAACGCAAACACATTTATGTACTACTGCTACAACAACAACAACAACCATATGATTTAAATTTTTTTATTTTTCTGGCTTAATATGTCAACTACAATTGTTTATGTGTGTGTATTCTTTTGAATAATAAAAAAATTGTTCAGAAAATATTCAAATTCGGGTGTTTTCAAAATGCTTATTGCAACGTATGCATCGACAAAATCTACAGTTTTTGTCGCGAAATAAACCATAAGAGATATATAGAACATGATTTTAGAATGAAATTTTGACCCTTTATTCAGTTTTCGCGGTTTTAAATTATTTATTCAAAATCAATGCAACAAGTTGTTTGCTTTTTTATTGTTTTGATAGTAATTCTGACATTACAAGCCAAACAGGTAGACCTCTATACTTGCAATTTTTTCAAAGTTAGCCTACCTTATCTTTATTGTACCATGGATACATCAACACTTGGAAACATTGATATGCCAAAAATAAGTAGATTTTTATATGTTTTCTTACACGCCGCCAATCGGAGGTAGTTATGATAAGCTTTTTTCAGCACTTTTTACAAATTTCAATAATTCTTCATTCAAAATTGTCCATTTCTAAATTAGTTTGATAGTTTATTGTCCCAGCAGCTGCGTCGATGCCACTACCTATATTCTTCTACCATGTATGGTTCTAAACATTGTCATACACAAATATGGTTACATGGTAGAAGAATATAGGTAGATGCATCAACACTCGCGAACATTTATATGTCAAAAAAGGTTAAAAATATCTCCAAAAATAAATGAATTTTAAAAACTTTTCTTATACGACGCAAATCGGAGGTTGTTATGACATGCATATTTCAACAATTTTTACAAGTATCGATATTTTTCATTCAATAATTTCAATTTCAAAATTGGTTTGACAGCTCATTGTACCAGCAGCTGTGTTGATGCGCCTACCTATATCATTTTATCATGTATGGTTATATAACCAAATGTAATTGTGACCATTGTGTGAAACATTTGCTCTCTTATGTGGCGTTTCCCCTGCACTTGATTCGCTCTCTATTCGTTGTTTGACCCTTAACTATGAAAAAACTACCTAATTCTTCACACAAAATTTCCTGAGCGAACACTCATATTTGTACGTTGTTCAAATCAAATCACTCTCAGAACAACGAAAAAATATGTCCCATCCCTAACAAATGAGAGCATTTATCGAAAAAATAAATTATGACATTTAAAAATTAAAAATAGAAAAATTTGATGAAATTTTAAAAATTTTTGGGAAGACTGAAAATTATGAATGAAAACTACAATGTTGAATGGCGTATGTACATTCAAACGAAAGTAAATTTTGTTTTCTCTCTCATTCGAGGTACGCATTTTGTCCACGAATTAAAATTTCCACAGAAAACGCAAACAAAAGAGGCAACATTTTCAAAATGTTTCTATCGGCAGAAAAAATGTTTGACAAGTGTCTCTCCAGCAGAATTTAAAAATGGAAAAACACAAAAATGTGTTCAAAATGTCAACATTTACACAAAAAGTTGAAATCGTGAATGAAAATTGTAAAATTAATGATATAATAAATCTTTGGGAGGAAAACAATAATTTCTTCTATTCATATTAGTGAGAATTTCATGGATTTTCGTATAAATTCCCATTAAAATCAACAAACAAAATTTTCGAAAAAAGGAATTATTTTACTATGAATTACGAATCGTGCCGTATGAACGGGTTAATTCGTGTACTTAATTCTGAGAGCGAACAACGTTGTTCGTTTTCCAATGGAAACATGCTATTAGTCATGCAATTTTTATCGATATCAAGAAACGAAAATCGGCGTCCGCAGTAAAAACTTTTACTTTCTTGATTTCTCGAACCGAGCAAAGTTCAATCATTGATTATTTGGTTAATCTGGATAAAATGGTACATGTAAACGTAATTTTAGATGCACAAAATTTTCGAGACCTCTGCATTTTATCGCTGTCGAAAGCGACTTCGCCTTCTTATCTCACCCGTTCGTTTTGTTATTAGCTCGTTCCGATTAATAACGATAACTGTCAATTTGACAACAGTCGACCTACAAGTCCCTAAAGAGAAAGACGGCCAAGACAATGAATAAAATAATAATTTAATTTTAATTACGTGAACAAAAAGGATTCGTACGGGCTGCAAAGTGTTGGATAGAAATTTTTGTGTAAATGAGTGTGAAATGTGAAAACGCTGACGGTAGCAACTATCGCCAACTACGTCCCGTCCCGTGTTTGGTGTTACAACAAACAGAAAGAGAAGCCCAAAACAATTGACAAGTGTGGAAGAAAATAAAAACACGTTCTCATCTTAACAATTCGGGGTATTTCTTGACTCACAACAATCAAATCTGAGTTTTGAGAGTTGAAGTTGTCCGTAATATATGTATGGAATTCGAGTTTGTCAAGTGTTTGAAGAACGGCAATATCATGTGTTAGATTCACCCTCCACATATGTCTGTCTGTCGCTTCTGCAAGCGTATAAGCAGTGGCAGTACGTCTATTATAAGCAATGCTGACATCGTTTTGTTATCAATTATAAATTTCCAATTCGATTGGTCAGCCAGCAGGCGTTGAGGGTGAAGAATCGAAATAGAAACAAAGGCAACATGGTGACTGCATTAGCCAACGTCCCAGCAGCCAAGATACGAAAGTACAAAAGAAAACAAATTGATTAAAGTGCCAATTGAATGCGAGTAAAACAATAATAGTGAGCGAGCGTAAATGTATCGGTACGAGAATATGAAAGCATACAAAACAAAGAGTAAAGGCAGAAGGTAGAGGAAAGTCGAGCCCACCTCCTATAGGAAGAGCGATGTGAGAATAATGCAAGTGTTCATATAAACAGAGACACACATTTACGTACATTCTCACGCACTTGTCGAGTCGTCGTACTTGTTGTTCGGGACATAATGGAAATATTCGTGTGTAGTTGTCGTTTGTGTTTTGTTTTTATTTTGGTCTGTTGTAGCGGTTATTATTGTTGTTATGATGTGTCAATGCCCCCATTTGTTAGGCTGTTTTCGTCTTAATTTGCTATCCTTGCAAATTATATTTAGAAACTTTGCTCAGTACATAGTCCTTGTTGTGGTTTGGGGATTATTATCGACTGAAACGAGAAAGGAGAATTTCGAATATTTGCTTGAGCGCATACAAGTTTTTGCATGTTTTCGAAAATCAATTCAGTTATTATTACAGGAATTGTTATAATAATCAAATAGAGGGTGGACTGTATGTAAGAGTCAACCATGTGCACAGTATCTTGTATGATAGATTAAATTTGTCGAATCTTTGTTTTGTGCTTGTTTTTTGGGCCAACATTTTCTAAAGAAACAACTGAATATTTTTTATTTGTTCGCGTTGTCACACTACAACACCGAGATGATTTGGGTTAATGCGTTTTTTATTTCTCATTGTTGTAAACTTACCTCCCCTCTCAGAAACCTTAGCAGCATCAAATTCATCACAATTTGAAACATAAGTTTTACTGCCATGACCTGTAAATAAATTCCCATCTCGAACTTTTTAAGGAAAAGAAGGGATCTGGTGCATCATTTCGACGTTATTAGTCAATAGACTTTTCAAAACCCCCCATGTAGCTATTCGGTGGTTTGATATACTCATAGATTGATAAATCGATAGACTGCGAATCATAGCTTCATTCTCCAAAGTATTACTAGGATAAGTGTACCAGCTGCTTGCACTTTTAGGATTTTCGCGTTTCCAATCGTTCACCATTCTAAGTGGAACTTTCGATTATTACAAAGTTAAATTATTCAGATTCGAAATTTGGTATAGTTTTTGAAATAATATATAAAGTTCTAATAACTTTTTATTAAATTTTATAAATTTGGAGTTTTATTAAAATAATGCTTTTTTGTCAGTAGTCGGCACGACTTGCCAATTGTCGGTATGACATGTTCCAACAGTCGGCATACAGATTTTTTTGTAAGGATAATAATTAATACTAAAAAAACAAGTAAGCAAAGGCTATCCAAATCCATTCTGAGCGTAACCCTACCCTTAAGAAAATTTTCGTGGGGATCTGAAAATAATTGTTACCTGCAGATAATAACCCCAACGTGTGTTGTACACAATGTACACTTCAATATTATAAGTCAAATTGAAAAAATCGCAAGCGATAAAAAATACTAAAAAGTAGAAAATGTCGCAAAATACTACAAAATCTATATTAAAATCATCATTGGCATCTTTTATGCCATTTTTTTAGATTTTATACTTTTATGCTAAGAGGGCATTTTGAATGGACAAAATTTGTCAAAATCAGTCCAGCCATTCTTGAGATATAAACATTCTAGCTAACATCACCTTCATTTGTATAAATAAATTGTATATATTTTGCTATATATATATCAGATATATTTACTATCGACATCTACGTATATATATCAGATATATTTACTATCGACATCTACGTTCGTCTATTTGTGATTTAGCCGGGATTAAAAATATTCGCAGTTTAATGCAATATTTGAATTTGAAACAAGTATTATGGCCTTTTTCACCCACTAAATTTTACCCGATGACCATCAAAATTGGAAGGCTTCTGCCCAGCCCTTAGCTCTAGCCCCATGCTAACCTCCGCTTCGATTGGTCTACAATTGCGACCTGTAGAGCAACGGAAAATCTGAAAATTTTTCAGTTTTTGGTCCATTTTAACCCCTAAATATTATGCGATCCTCGTTACTCGTTAAGATCGGGCCATAATTGCGACCTGTAGAGTGATTACAAATAAACATGGACAGATGGAGGACTGACATACATATCCATAAATATTTTTCTATGTGGGAAACCAATATTTCGACGTGTTATATAATTTTTGTTCCAATCAAACTTATAATACCCCAACACATAGTGTTGTAGGGTAAAATAATTTATTAAAATATTATATTTTTGTTTAATTAAACTGATTCGACGTCTTTATTGTACTTTTTTTGAGAATATGAATTGTCCCGTTCATTCTGAGGACCTTCACAGACAAAAATTTAATTTTTATTAGAATAAATCATCTTTTCTTAGGGAAATTGTACACAGAGATAGCTGACATTATATTCAAAGCTAACAAACATTTCTGTTTATATTTAGTTATAAATGTTTCATTTATTTGAGCTTAAAATAAAAATTGCCAACTACTGGGACATGCCGAACTTAGGCACACTTCATCAACACGACATCAACAGAAATTTCACAGCCAAATCCAAATGATTCAGTATATCTTTATACACCATAAAATTTCACCTCTTAAACGGTCCTTGTTAACCATCCACATCAACTAAGTATGATGAGCCACTCAATGCAAAGTCTGTAATATTGTCCCTGGCTATCTTTTTCCACTGGTGGTGTGATTATTAAAATCGTCTCGGAAGAGAATTAAGAACAATAATGCATTGTATTATTATACACTTTTACTAACCATTTTCGTGAAAAACTTTTCAGATATTTCGAAATTCAAACTAACTTTGAATTATAAGTACAACATTTTCATTTAAAATTTAATTTTAAGTTGGATTGGAACGAATTCTAAATGAACATAATTATTAGATTTTAAAAACTTTAATTAACAATTGAAGTGTATATTGCAATTTACATTTTTCTCAAAAGACATGTACTCTTAACTACTTAATACGGCTTTAGTCACACTTTTAGAATCCTACACACTTTAGAATCCTAACGACATTCAACAATTAAATAAAAATGTTTAAAAAAATGTCAAAAGGATTGAGATAAGGATAAAAAGAATAATTAATTAAAATTTAATTTTAAAGTAGTCATGTATGGAAGTTTTTGGAACTTGGGCTAGGTAAATGGCATAATTGAATATAAATAAAACAAGCAAAAAAACATTAAGTTCGGCCGGGCCAAACTTTTAATACCCTCCACCTTAGGGTAAAAGAAACATTAGAAGAAATGTGGCAAAAACCATTAAAATGCCGATTATGGGGAGGTACCGTTATATGGGGGCTATACCAAAACGTGGACTTATAATTACAATGTTTCGCCACCGGAGCTGGAACCCATTATGGCCCACAAATACCAATTTTTAGACAAATCAGTGAAAAAATGTGGCAAAAACCATCAAAATACCGAATATCGGGAGGTACCGTTATATGGGGGCTATATCAAATCATGGACCCATGCATGCAATGTTTCGCCACCGAAGCTGGAACCAATTATGACCAACAAATACCAATTTTCGAACAAATCCCTGAAAAAATGTGGCAAAAATCATCAAATTACCGAATATCGGGAGGTACCGTTATATGGGGGCTATACCAAAACGTGGACCTATAATTACAATGTTTCGCCACCGGAGCTGGAACCCATTATGACCAACAAATACCGATTTTCAGACAAATCCGTGAAAAAATGTGGTAAAAAAAAACTAAAATACTAAATATCGGGAGGTACCTTTATATGGGGGCTATACCACAACGTGGACCTATACATGCAATGTTTTGCCACACGCTCAGGGACCCGCTATGACCTACAAATACCAATTTTAAGACAAATCCGTGAAAAAATGTGGCATAAATCATCAAAATACCGAATATCGGGAGGTACCGTTATATGGGGACTATACCAGAACGTGGACCGATATATCTCATCTTCAATACTAACCATCCTAGACACAATGCAAATAGCTCTGCTAAATTTTGGAGCTCTACGTCAAATAATGTGGGCTGTATCGTGATTTCAACAGACAGACAGACAGACAGACGGACAGACAGACAGACGGACAGACAGACAGACGGACAGACAGACAGACGGACAGACAGACAGACGGACAGACAGACAGACGGACATCGTTAAATCGACTTAGAATTTTATGCTGATTATGAATATATATACTTTATGGGGTCTAAAACGAATATTTAGGGATGTTACAAACGGAATGACAAAGTTAATATACCCTCCTTTCCAAGGTGGAGGGTATAAAAATAATTTTTTGTTTACACTATTACACTTATAAATAATTTGTCAATATCACTGTGAGAATAATTTGAACAAATTCTGATTTATGACTGTTCAAAATGTTGACAACTTGTGGGAGAGGGTCTGGTATGGTCCTTTGTATCAATGTATATAGACTTTTTTAAATTATTAAAATTAGGGTATAACTTATCTAAATTCGAATCCCTGGGAGGGAATTTTGTATTTGAGTGAATATTCGACAAAATATTAGCCAGAAAATGATTTATGAATTATAGTTTCTTGAATTAAGATAATTTGTGGTGCCAAGAGTGAAATATAATTTTTTATCATAATTGGTATTTTTAGATGTACTCTTGCACATATTATTCTGTCCAGATGAAGTGTGATGGGCTAATTAATTACTAACTTAAATACTAACTAATTATAACCGTATCTTTCTACAGCTTCAGCAGTATTATTTATGTATAAGTGTAAGGCATCAAGAAATTTTTGGCGCCTTGGATTTGGACTTTTCATGACTTGCTTTGAAATCGTTTCGAAGCACAAAATTATTTATTGCTAGATAGCGTTTAAAGTTTTTAACGAGAATTTTACATTGACATCACATCTATCAAATCGACACTATCCATGATTGGTACAAACTACAAAATAATCGGTGAAATGCCCGACCCCCACCCATTCAGTTGAGATAGGTAGCAGAGCATTTGTGAAGTTAATTGACATTCTTAAAGATATTCTCATTTTCCATTTTTATTACGGCAATTTCAAGCGATTCTTTCTTTCCTTCTTTTTTTACTAATGATTAAAGATAGTGGAACCTCTTATACTGATAAGACCGATGAACAAATGTAAAGAGAATTAATAGCCCATTCGTGAAATGCTAAAGAGTACAAAGAAACAATTAAAATAAAAACAGCAACAACAACAACAACAACAGATCAGAGACTGTTAAAACCTTTACAAACCAAACCAAAAACAAAATATAGGTTTATATAGTAAACTAACTAAAGTGCAAAAAAAAAAAAAAAAAAAAAACGTGGAAGTAACCGGAGAAGGCGAAGGAGACAGACGACGTAATTTCAAACTATCTACTCAAGTCGAGTAGAGTGAGAGAACAATTCAAATTAATGTTGACTAGGAAAAGACGTTAACGTTCATTCGTTCAGTGCCGATTGTGAAATGGAAAAGATATCATCGCAAATGTTAAGGAATTCAAATATTAACAACAACAACAACAATCAAGCTGATTATAAACGGTCGACCATAACAAACACCACCCCGTCCGATAGCGGTAATGCTAATAAAGATTTATCTTTAACAAGGCAAAAACAGCAAGCGCACAGCAGCCAAGTGACTTTAAATCGTAATCGCAGCAGTTGTGGCAGTAGGAACCGTGTTAACTTCAACATTGTCTTATCGCCCACAAGTACAACCATGTCTGCTGTGACGATAACCTCTTGATTTGTGTGTATTGTCCTCCTTTTGTATGTCTGTACTTCGTGTTGACTTGTTGTACGGTGCACACAGTTGTCGGCTGTGAAGTCCTTCAAATTGATTGACTGAATTCGGTCGGATGTCAGTGAAGTGTCCATATAAGGAACCGTCTCAACCTATTTCTTCAACTCTATTCAGCAGCTTCTAAATGTGTGTATTTTCCATTGAAACAATTATATCCGAACGTTTAATATGATACTAAATATGTCGAATAAATTTAATAACTTTCAACATATCGCTGTGAGTGTTTCGGCAGCCTCCACGTCTGCAATGAGTATGCAGGGGCCATCTACTTCGGCGTCATTAGCTGCTTCCAGCAATGCTCTGTCGGCTCCAAATATATTTTCGCAAGATTCAAATTCGTCTATAAATTCCAACTCTGCTTCCGGCAAAGCTGAACGCGAGTCCATACATTCGGGCCAGTTCATGGTGTCGACATTTGAAGCTGAAGAGGCACAAGATGATCTCGATGACAGTGAAGTTAAGATGCTCGATCCTGAGGATCCCAGCCTGTCGAAGCCGGACGAACCCAATACATGTATGGAAGTACAGTTGTATGTGCCGCGAAAGTTGGCACAGCAGAACAGATATGGTTTCAACGAATCGGCAGGCTCCATAACATCACATCTGGAGATTGAGACCTCACTCACAAAGCTCTTTAAATGCATGAATTTGGCTTACAGGTAAGTGTGTAAAACTTTTATTATATTATCAGTATTTAGTATTTTTTGGGGGAAGTCCCTATTCAGATAATAACTTGTTGTGCATAACTTTTTTTGTTTTTTTTTTGAAAAAATGCTAATCAATTAATACAAATGATCCAATTCCAGAGTTTTTGTTTTGGTTGTCTGATCATTTCACATAAAACGTCGTTTCTTCTATATAAATATTAGACTATGGCTAGTAGTCATGCACCAATTGCGTGATTAGAGTTAAAGTTTTTTCGTTGTTCCTTTTTATTTAGCTTCGCATGCTTTAAAAATATGATAAGGCAATATGTTTGGCGTGTTTTGTCATTCGCCGAATTTCATTCATTTTTGAGATATCAGCATAATTGTCGAGGTACTCGTATGGCCGACTGAATAGTATCATATTCTGGTGTCGAAAAATCTTGGCACTTACAGAGTGTGAACATTAGGTTTGTTAAACTGAGGGTATTGACATTATATGTATTCAACAATGTTTACAACATTGATGAAGAGCAATTGAAAAGAAACGCTGACTTGTTTCGCAAGTTATGAGACTCTCTGTGGGGAAGGTAATAGACCATCTTCACATCAGATCTTGTGTTAGTATAAATATTGAAATGTGCGAAGTTTAGAAGAAATCAAATGCCTTTTTCTTTGCATTTTATGAGAGATATAATTATTCAAAAATATTTTCTACTCGTAAGAGTTGTAATTATTACAAATTTTCACCCTTTGAGGGGATGAGCTGGCCAATGTTGTCCGTTTTCGCATCTGACCTAGAACTGGTACGAACATTGGGATTTCGAACTATGAATAAAAAAAAAACGATCTACACCAAATTTGACATTCTTCTTTCTAGGATAAATTTGCTCGTACGTCCTATTTGGCGTAAAATAAAAAAGGAAATCGAATCAAGATCGGACAATTTCAAACAAATGATTTCTCCAAAATCTCATCCCGACCGGGCAATAAATGCGACCTGTACTTTGTTTACAAAAATACGTGGACAGACAGGCGGATATGCGTAAATCCACTCAGAATGTGTTTCTATGCAGATCACCAAAGGGAACTATGGGTCTATATCGCTTCCTTCTCTGTCTCAAAAAGATAATAACCTGACCACAGTGTGGTGTAGGGTATAAAATGACATTTGTGACACTTTTTTTTTTAATAAAAATGGAAGCAATTCATTACAGAGGCATTTTGTAATACAAATGAAATTCGGTTGGCGACTTCGAAACGCTATGCTCTGATTAAAGTACTGTGGTACTTTAGGGGGTAGACAATTACAATTGGGAGTCGCATATTAAAAAGCGTTATCATTGTTGTTTTAAAGCTTGTTTCGTGTTTAAACTAATATTCAATTTTCAAATTGTGTAGTTTTACATTCTCCGCTTTATCCTGTTTCTTTTTCTACATTGTTCGAGAAATACCAAGAATTAGATGGGTTTGTGTCGTCACCGTCAGTTTCTGGTCAGAAACGCAAAAGGGCTGCGAAAAAGGCACCAACTAAGGGAATGCCTAGTCGCAAAGCCATAGTTTCTGTGAAGAACACTGTTCTTTAACCGGTTATAGTTATTACCACTGATACAACTGAAACTGGTCGTGAACAGTCGTATGGCATCGTTGTTACACACGCACTTCCGGAAATTAATAGCGATAGAAGTAAAGGGGTAAATAATCCTGAGGTTATGAGTTTTGATAGTGAGGTTTCTAAGAAAACCTCTCAATCTACTCATGACCTCTTGATAAACAATAGGTATACCGTTTTTATACCCTACAACACTATGTGTTGGGGGTATTATAAGTTTGATTGGGCCAGAATTTATGTAACACCTCGAAATATTGGTTTCCCACATAGGAAAGTATATATGGATCTTCCTAGCTCGCCGAGCTGAGTCGATCTAGCTATGTATGTCCGTCCGTCCGTCTGTCCGTCTGTCCGTCTGTCCATGTTAATTTGTAATCACTCTACAGGTCGCAATTATGGCCCGATCTTCACGAAATTTAGAATGTAGGTGGGGTTAAGGTAAGAATAGAAGCCTATTTCTTTTGGAGATGATCGCATAATATTTAGGGGTCGAAATGGACCAAATACTGAAAAAATGTCGGATTTTGCAGTAGCTATACAGGTCGCAATTATAGACCAATCGACGCGGAATTTCGCATGTAGCTAGAGTTTAGGGCGGGGAAGAAGCCTACCAATTTGTGTGGTCATCGGATAATATTTAGCGGGTAAAATAGACCATATCTTTTGTGATGAAAAAAATTCAAAATTTTTTCATTAAACCGCGAATATTTTAATTACCGGCGAAATCACAAAGCCATGACAAGGTTACTTCTGATCTTTACATTGATGTTAACATCCAACAAATCGGATATATAGAAAAATATGTGAGATATTTATGTTTATCAAAGAAGATATGCTTGAAAGATCTCTTATATGTCGAGAACGGCTGAACTGATTTCGACAGTTCTCATTAATTCAGAATGGCCCCTTGGCAGGAAAGAAAAAACGTCTAAAAAATCGCATAAAAATATCTCCCTAAAGATGAAAATATTGATTTTGTAAAATTTTCTCATATTTTTTCAATTTTGTCATATTTTTGGCATATTTTCATTTTGAATTAAACATTTGGTAATATTTCTACAGCTAAAAAAACTAAGTAGTTAGGATATCAGGATATTATATACAGATCGCATTTAAGGCCCGATCCCTACGAAATTTTGCATGGGGGTAGGATGAGGGTCAGAATAGATGCCTACTCTTTTTGGAGATGATCGTTATATATTTAGGGGTTGAAATGGACCAAAAAACTGTCAATTGTCAGCAGGTCGTAATTATCGCCCGATCCTCACGCACATTTAAATGGGGGTTACCGCACATTGCAAAAGCCAAGCAGTTTCGGATGGCCATCCACAAATATTCAATGTGTGAAATAGTTTACCAACTTTTGTAGACTAAATACGAAAATGTCCATTCCAGCGACTTTTTGGAGAATTCACAAATACAGGAAAGACGCACTTCTGACTATTTCGTTAACGCTGATTTCGTTGAAGAATATAGTAAAATATATGTATCTCATATAGATGCGTTTCAGTCAAAAACCAATAATAAATGTTAATCTTTTGCCACTTCTGAGAGATTATAGGTCTTTGGGAAATATTGGTTCCAGATCTAGGAAGATCATTTAAGTGCAACATCTACGAATAAATTGGAAATGAGCAAATTCGTTTAAGTTGCTATTTTTCGGAAATTAGAGAACGTTTCTTTTATTATTTGTCACAATATCTTGTGGAATTCTTTCGAGTATCTCGCCTATATAAACTGTATGGTTTATTATAGTGTTGTAGGGTATTCAACGGTCGGCCCCGCTCGACTGTAGCCTTTGCTTACTTGTTTGATATAAAATTTCACTGCACTCTAAATATTCATCGGAGACCCCATAAACTATATATATTAGTGATCAGCATAAAATTTTAAATTTTCGTTTTCGTTGATTTTTTGAAGTAGAGATCTTAAATTTGACATAATAGACTGATGATAGAATGATTGATATTGAAAATAAGCTATAACGTTTATCGTCCACGTTCTCGAAAGTATCGGTATTTTGACGATTTAAGCCACATTTTTAAACGATATTGTTAACAATTCGTTATTTAACGATGGAAATGGTTTTTACCTTCTATGGTAGAATATTCTCTATATATGATTACTACTTTCCTAAAGCCGGTACCTCCCGATATTCCATATTTTGATTCTTTTACCACATTTTTCCAGGATTTCGTTTTTCCAATTCGGCTTTTGCTTAAAGCCCCCTATAGCAAACAATGTTCTAGGCTTACGCCCACTTTATGGCATTTTGAAGATCGATTTCACTGATATTTGTGGTATAAAATAGAACTCTTTCGAATATTGAAACTCAAATCTTTTGTTAAAAAGGTGATCATCAAAACTCCATTTGGACATCATGACCCGTACACAGAAGTGACCTGTAATGATGTCCAATAAAAGTGTTGGGTTCATTTTCGTTGAGGATAGTGGAGAAGTTGTACGATTGTTGAAATGTGTTGGCCTCATTGCCTTCTAAACCCTGAATTCAGTCTCTTTGAGTCGTTTTTTGTTGAACCATGGTGGAAAAATCTTCTTCCGGAAGTGGAACAAAATAACACGAAAAAGTTTTCATCGCAGGACGAACCCTATTGAAATTGGTGATATTCCGTTTAGAATAAATAAAAATTTCACTGCAGAGCAATGTAAACATATTTTTTGCCTAATAATAGAAATAATCGCCGTTGTACTTAACAAAACGACAAAGACGATAGTTCGGAAACATTTTTTGCGGTTAAGGAACAGCGACACCACGTTAGATAATATATTTTTCCTAAAATTGCAAATGTAAAATAAAAGGGATGTTGCCTTTTCCACGATTTTCTAGCGATTGCTTGAAGTGTTGAAAGATTAGGACCAACAGCTAAAAACTATACATTAAAGGGAATGATGTGAAAGCATTAAAATTAAATATTTTAAGAACTATTCTTCTGCATTTTCAATTTAACAATCCAAATTACAAAAATGTATATTTTTGAAATTTAAATAATTTATTGAAAGTTAATTATTATGTTTACATTTTTGAATTTCGATGTCTACCCTTCTTCAGATTGAAATGAGTTGTTATATAGCTCTCATGTAAGGGTACTTCCCGATAATTGTAATTATTTTTAACTTAATTTTTTGAAACTTGTTTTCTTTTAATATTTTAATTTCTGTGATTTAGTGTTTATATAATAAAATTATGCTTTTCTTTGTATTCTTTTAGTCAAAAATTGACCTCACCAAAGTGGAATCATTTTAAGGGAGTTCGTTTGCGTTGGAAAGACAAAATTCGCCTGAACAATGTCATTTGGAGGTGTTGGCACATGCAGTGTAAGTATATTTTAGTATTTGTTATTTTTACTAAATACATTTACTCAATTTGGACATAGAATGTAATAGGTATATACGTCGTAAAAAAATCCATTGTTATCAAAATGGAAGAGAAAGTTTGAGGTCAGCTTGGTATACAATTGGATGCTTCTGAGGATATCTTGCGCTGAACCAATCCAAGGTTTCATTTTTCAAAACACTAAAAAGTAAAATTCATTTATATAAGGTGCAACATCGTTAATTATGGGTGGACCATCTATCAAATAACATATTTTATTTGGATGATAATAATCCATACTCTTATCGTTTACCTTTTTTTTTGAGAATTCTGACAGGACTTGGGGTTGGCACACTTACTTTTCATTATGACAAACCTGTTTGTTTGCCCTCCCGTTATGTAGTTTCTTTAAGAAATGATTTTGGGTTAATCTTTGACATCCAAACGAAGCGTTGGGGTAGACTTTTGAAAAACGACGATTAAATTTACGTTAAAATATTCATTTAGCTTGAACAAGTTGTAGCAATATTTTTCAATCGAATAATTATTAGCGAATAAGAAATATTCTCAACCAAACTTTTTCGATAAAATTTCACGTTTTAGGCTAGTGCCCACACAAAGCTACCTGCCGACAGCATTTAAAAGGTTTCGGGTACAATTTTCAAAGGAATAACCTAAAATTTTGTTTTAAAAGTTCTCGGTATATGTCAAGTTAATAACAATAATTTCCAAAAGTTTTTGAACTTTGGTTGATTTGAATGGAGTTACGGCCCTTGCGTAACGTACAAAACGTTTGTTTATAGAGAAAAGGTGCCTATTTTTGAACGCAACGTAAAAGTCTTGGTGAGAGCTTTATTTTATTTGAGCTTTCTTCAATGAAAATAGTGTTGGAATTACGTAAAATGTGCACCAACAATTCATATTTCAATTCTTTGGACACATATTACGATGCGATCATTTCGTGATTTTTGTAACATTCGACAATTCAAAAGCAAGTTTCTGAATTTGACATTCGAATTCGAGTACAATTTTTTACCCATTTGTATGAAAAATGTGCCCGTTTTCTTTTGAGTAGTCGATTCGAGCCACCGTTGAATTAAATGAAAAAAACCACAGTGAAAACCAATCCAAATTGTATTACTTTCGAATTGGAAGCATGAAGTATTTCGATTGCCTTAGAGATGCAGGCCATAAAATCCAATTTACATCTAACTCGGTATAAAATTGGGGAATATCTAAAATGGACAGAAGAAAAATACATTCGCATTGAAAACACCTTTCGAAGATCCCTATTGTGTGTGGACTATTTCAACTTTGAACTTTTAGCTATTTATTTTTAGTATATTTGCAATCGAAAATATTGCAGAATGAATATTTGTGATTACATTTTTTAGAACATACGTACGTACTTCTAAACGCATTCCGACGATTCGGTACAATATTGATTTGTTCTTTCCGCTTAGATGGCAAAATTGACAATACCGAGAAATGAGTATTGCTATTCTTAAAATCTACACTCCTATTGTAGTGAGGCGCCTATCTTTATTGACCATACGTTTGTTTCGTTTATTTTATTCTACCTTTTTATTGTTGTTAATATTTTTATATTTGATAACATTTTTTTATTCTTCAATTAAACGCTTTTCAAGGCACAAACGTTGAGATAGTTATCTTTACTTTGAGTTTTTTAATTCGCCTTTGTTTTCTTTTCAGTTTGACGAAATTCATTGCACGCTTTTGAGCAAACAATCTTAAAAGCAAAATAAAACAAATCATATACTGTGCTATCTTCCCGAATAATTTTTTTTAGTTATTTTATGAAAGTTACGAAGATATTTTTATTTGTTTATTGAGAGGGATATGAAATTATAAGGACTTTAGGAATTGGAGACGAATTTCATAACGAAACGTAATTTCGGTTCGAATCGAGATTCAAAGATGTTGCACAGTTAAAAAGAGTAAAATCTTGCGGAGTATATTTAATAACCCTCCACACCGTTTAGGATACATATAACATAGAACGCAATTTCTAGATTTGCAATAAAACACAGATATTAAAAAAATCGTGTAACTTTATTATATCGCAAAGTAGGCAGAATGAGGTTATATATGGAAGAAGATATCGTGCAGATGGCCGCCGCGGCTTTGCTGCCAAACACGCGATCATTTAATGAGCATAAATGCTGCGGTATTTCATTAATGCAGCTTCCAATTTCCTCATTTAAGGCTTGTGTCGTCGTCGGTTTATTTGAAACATTGTCTTCAAAAAGCCCCAAAGAAAAAAGCAGAACGTGGCCAATTCTGGACTCTAAAGCGCGGTGTACTGATAAACCGACCAGATGAAACATGTAGGTTTTATGTCACTTAGTTAACGACTATTTTGAACCATTGTCTCAATCTCAAATGGAGTCATGTTAGAAGAACAGTGGTAGATGCATCATTATTTGTGAAAATTGATACTTCAAAATAAAAATTAAACAATTTCTGCAAAAATAAATTGAAAATTTTGAATACTTTTTCACTACAAAATATTAATTCCAAAAATGTTTCGACAGTTCGTAGAACATAAACTGTGTTGATGCGGCTACCTGTATTATTTTATGATGAATATAATTGTTCATAGCCAAAGTCTTCCAGAATGAATAATTCACTATATGAAAATTCGTTAAAGAGAAGCTCGACTGTATTTGACATTTTCACAACATTTTTAACTAAATTATCTTAAATTGGTAATTTGGTTCCGATATATTTAAAAAGTTTTGTCCTACCGGACGTATTTGTGGTTTTACACCCTTCAAATTTGTCATTCCGTGTGTAACACCTCTAAATATTCATCGGAGACCCCATAAACTATATATATTAGTGATCAGCATAAAATTCTAAGGCGGCCAGTTCATCTGAGATCATGATGCAGCCCATATATTTTTTGAAATGGAAATTTCAAATTTGATATAATAGATTGATAATGGAACGGTTGATATTGAAAATAAGCTACGTTTATCGTCCACGTTCTCGAAAGTATCGGTATTTTGACGATTTAAGCCACATTTTTAAACGTTATTGTCACCAATTCGTTATTTAACGATGTAAATGATTTTTACCTTCTGTTACCTTTCCTAAAGTCGGTACCTTCCGATATTCCATATTTTGATTCTTTTACCACATTTTTCCAGGATTTTGTTCTTCCAATTCGACCTTTGCATAAGGCCCCCTATAGCAAACAATGTTCTAGGCTCATAGTTTGGGTGCTATACGCTCACTTTATGGCATTTTGAAGATCGATTTCACTGACATTTCTAGTATGTAATGGAACTGTTTCGAATATTGAGGCTCGATACTTTTGTTTATAAAGGTTATCATGGACATCATGCCCCGTACACAGCAGTGACCTGTAATGATGTCCAGTAAAAGTGGTGTTGGCCCCATTGCCTTCTAAACCCTGTATTCATTCTCTTTGAGTCGTTTTTTGTTGAACCATGGTGGAAAAATCTTCTTCCGAAAGTGGAAAAAATGACACGAAGAAGTTTTTATCGAAGGACTAACCCTCCGATTTGAATTTTCTCTGATTTAGTAATTATTGTGCATTAGATACATGATGTCTGAGGAATAAATATTCTCATCACGAAATTTATGTAGTTTAGAAGAAAGTCTGTCAAGTTTAGTCGAAATCATTTAAATAATAGGTTCCATATTATATATGTTATTATATATTATAAAATTGCAATTTTTGACTCGATAAAAATATATTTAGCAAATAAATATCACACATAGCCTTGAAACTTCTTTTTTGATTGGGACTGGCTTAGGTTCATCTATATGCCCTATATATGTCTAGCCATGTACATCGGTCCCTCTGTTGTTGTTGTAGCAGCTTATACTGCTGTGTTTGATCTGACTCTTCTCAATTCAGTCCCGCTTGATAGGCCTGTTGATCTAGAGGCTCTCTCATATACCTTTGTACCCCTCTCTCTATATCATAAAGGTCTTTCCTTACGTGCCTGGGCGGAGGTTGCCTATCCACCAGATAGTGTTTCGCATGGCTCTGTCGGTAACACTCAAGCAGGTATTGCATTGACAGCATTTTATTATGCCGTCGCACCGTAAGACCTTCGTATCCTCATATATATAGCCGCATTCTGGTAGGACTGAATATTTTTCACTATGTAGCACTAACCTTCGGTGTGGTCCGGAGCCGCATAGTTTACCACAGACCGGCCTATCGCGTTGTAAGAGATCAACAAGGTTTCCTCTTCAGCTCCCCAAGTGCTGCCGGCCAGAGACTTGAGAACCTTTTCCTACTTCTAATCTTATCGCAGATAGCTGTGGTATGCGCGGACGACTTGAAAAGGCTATCGAATGTGACCCCTAAGACCTTGGGGTAGTTGGTGGTCGAAATTACAACTCCATCGATCTGCACATTCCAAGATAGCCTCACTCCGCAGTCAATGTGGTGAAAAGTGGGGCCGTCAATTTAGTGGCGGATATCTCAATATTTTTCGCAGTGAAAAAGGGTTTTATTATGGGTCCGGACGCCACGGACCTATTCTAAGGGAAAAATATTCCCTTGGAATATTTTTTTTGTAAACGTCCAGACAAAGAACTCTTCTTATGGTTAATTTAAACATATGTGTATAAATGCTCGTAGAATGAGGATATATACTACATATATGTTGGCTGATATTTCTTAATTGGTTTTAATAACACGCATATTCTTATTGTCAAAAAGGAAAATTATGTTTTAAAACTGAAGATTAATAATCTATAATTAATAATATATAAATAATAATATATAATTAATACCATCATTTAACATTCGCCGTGATTTCCGACTAATTTAATAATTAAAGCAGTTTTCCTCGTTCGATTCAAACAACTGTCTGATGAATTTGATATTGACACAAAATATATAAAAAAACATCCAATAAGAAGCCAGTCAGCCAGTAGAAGTTGATTCACTACTGTCGTGACGTCTATGCCACTTAATAATACCCAAAGGTAGGTTAAACGATCGGCCATGAATTTGCTCGACGAATATCAGTAGAAATTTCCGTGAACACACAACTGCCCGGTAACAGTTTATCACGTCTAAGGTGGTGCAGCCAGAGCCAGCCAGTTGGGAAATACGCCGCGTCGTATAACTGTTAGTTGGCAAGAGCCTCAGATAGCATATTGCAGATAATGTTAGGAGTGTTGAATGTGGGAATCACGCCTGTCTGCTTGGGGCCACTTTTGTCGAAAAGGGCAGCCGAAGTAAGCGTGGCTGATAAAGGGCGTCGATTTGGAGAATGTTTTTTTTTTGTTAGCCCAAGGTAATTTTTAAAATTACTTAAACGCTGGCAGGCTATGCGATGTCAGTTAGTTTTGTTACATTTTCCAATTGCCTAGGCGTCGAGGCGTATACTTATTCGAAACGCTGCTGTGCTCATTCGTCAGTGTGTTCGCCAACCTAGTCGAATTGTTTTTCGTAAACCATTGGCGTTTGTTTAGAAATTCAAAATAAAAACAAAAGAAGAACTAAAAGCGGGTAGGGAAGACAAAACGAAAAAAAAAAAAACGTAGAAAGATTGTACGGTCGTGTGCATGTTTGCCGGCGCCGTTGGCGATCGCGTTTCCCGAATTATCTGCTCACCTTGCGGACATTGTAGAGCGGTTTGTGATTTCAATTTTGTATGCTTTTGACCACCGAAAAAGAAAATTAACAATGAGTGATAACATTATCAGAATTGAAATTTTAATAACGGTCAAATTCCCAAAAAAGTATGAAACCACGTATTATCATCGCATACGTGCATGTACATAAGTATGTATGTATGTAGTATGTATATATGAATTTTTCATCGGCCATCATATGTTTATAAGTATGTATATATATATATATATATATATATATATATATATATATATATATATATATATATATATATATATATATATATATATAATTCAAAGTATGGCGAGTTCCTGCAAAGTATGTTACTAGAATGATTGGTTAGATTGGTATTTGTAGGTCTATTCTGTTACTTTTAACAAATCTTGACTCAAACATTTTACGCTGTTCAACCATTTTATTACTTTATTTGGGTGTAAAGTGATTATTTCCAACAGTTAACAAGTAAAAAAGTATCGGTCGGTTTTGCTGACAGATGTATACTCTCAGCCAATGTTCGATTATTTAAAAATATTTTGGCTTCTGTTATGAATTTTCAAACTCTTTACTCTCTATGGAGTGGGCTTTGAAAGAATGGGTCAATATTGTCCATTTCGTATCGGACCTAATATGCAAGAAAATCAAACATATATATCCAATTTATGGGACATATATTCAGATATAGCAAGTTGTAAAGAATCTCTGAGTTGTTTCGCAATTTATGACAGATAAAAGCATTGAAAATTGTGTCCCTTTGTGGGTGAGGTAACAGAAGGGGTTTGCAGATATATAGCATTTTCACAAAAGATCTTGTGTAAGCAAAAATGTCTGTATGTGTGAAATTTAAAGAGAGATGGATGCCTATTTCGCTTTCTGTTTTTCAAAATCTTGAACTCTATGTGGAACAGGTAGCAAAATAAATTTTCCGATCTCTACCATCTTTATAACAGATATTGCGTTGATGGAAATACAGATGTACCATGTCTGGAATGGAGTAGGATGTTGATTTTGCTTTTTATGAGCTTAATGGACATTCAAAATTTTGAGCCTTTGTTAGGAAGGTACCAGAAGGAGTGGACCGATATACTCCATCTTCACACCAGACCTTGGGTTAATATTAATATTGGGATGTGTGAAATTTGAAGACAATCGGACTATTGCATCACATTTTATAAGAGTTGTAATTATTCAAATTTTTGACCATTTGTGAGGGAAGTACTAGATGGAGTGGACCGATATTGTTCATTTTCGCACCTGGCCCAGCACTGACGCAAATATTAGGATTTGCAAAGTTGGTTAAAAATCGGGTATAACGAAAATTTGGGATCTGGAAAATTTGAAAAGTAGATATCTACGAAACGTGTCTACAAGAGTTTTCGAATACTGTCCACTCTTTACCTGCTGCATATATTACCATGTATCAAATTTGAGTCTCTTTGAATTTCAAATCCCAATTATTTTTTGACAACAAACTTAGTTGTCAGATGGGCTTACTGGCCGATCTTATGTATGCCACGCTTAGTTCGAAGCATGAAAAGCATTGTACCAGATTTAGACGACGATGAAAAAAAAACCACTCGACACAATCTTGTCAAAGAAATATTGAACGAGTATTTACTTTTCTTAATAGTTTGCAAGCCTTCAATTCAATTTATTAAATTTATTCTCCTTTTTTACAATTTCAGTTATTCTTAAACGCAAAACCCCGGTCTGCCAATTTGCCTCGCCTTTGGACGTCGATATTCACAGTAACCCCCAAGTAAGTATTCCATACCTTTAATATTTCTCTAACATTCAGTGCACTCCTTCTGTTACCTTCCCCACAAAGGGTCAATATTGTCAGTAATTATAACTGTCTTGGACTGAGAAATGATTTACAGAATTTCTTCTAACTTCGCACATCTAAATATGTTTATCAATACTGGTATTGGTATGTTTTTGGGATCTATCAATTCAAACTCTCTGCTACGTCCAATACAGCCGTTCAAATTTTTTAAAGTATTAGGGGTAAAAATTTTGAGTAATCAGAACCGTAGTAAAATGTGAAATGTGTCGGCAGGTTTTTTTTTTCAAATTTATGAGAACATGATCAACTCTTTCTGGTTCTTCCCATACAAAATGGGAAATATTTCAAAGAATCATAAATCACATGTAAATCGACTGGATTCCACGAAATTAGCAGTGAAAAGGAAACCCAGAGAGACACTTTCACACACTCACTTACTACTATTTCTTCAATTATCTATCCCATTAAATATAACACCCGAACTACGAATATTAACAATATTAACAAGAAAAAATTATGTTAACTTTGGCCAGGCTGAATTTTTGTATCCCAAGACTAAAAAACTTGGATGTTCTGTTGTATTGGGGTCATACCTATATTGAGTATTTAATCTACCTACCTAGAACCCGAAAAATCAAATTGCATCTGATTTGTTTGGAAATGAAAAATGTCAAAATGTCGACGTACCGTTGGAAATTGGAGCAGCAAGGATGGTTGCTTGCTTGTGCAAAATTACAAAGCTCTACCCTTAAGGGTGCGACGTACAAAGCTAAATTAAATTCGAATTTTAGGTTGATTGTGATCACATAATGCAGAATTAAATATCCCCACCCAAGGGATAAGGGTATAATACAACAATACGTCGATTTTATGTAAGGGAATATACAGGTCGAGATGAAAAAACTGCAACCAACTTCAGGCTGCTGTCATTTCTAAGCCATTCGTTCGACAGCTGTTAAAATTATTCGCGTGACAGCTCATATTGTGTACAAAAAAATTTTGGTGAGAAATTTCCAAAAAAAAGTTATTCGTGATGGAATTCAAGCGTGATAGGGTGATTTTTTTATATATGTGGCTGAAAACCACAAGTGGTTACCGTTAGAGCACTCCAGCATTTAAATGTGAATAAATTTTTTGTGTCGCGTACCATCCATCCATCGCTCGTTACCGTGATACTGGTAGCGTAGCCCGACGTCAAGGAAGTGGACGGAAAAAAACAGCAACATCAGCAGAAATGGTTCGAAAATTAATGAAGCGACTTGATCGAAACCCGCGTCGCAGTGGCCGAAATGGCTCCTGAGCTGAACATATCGCAATATTCCATTCGGCAAATATTGAAAAATGAGCTCGGGGTAAAGCCATTGAAATTCCAAAAATTACAAGAACTTACACCGCAACAGAAAGAAAATAGACTCAAAAGATCTAAAGATTTGCTTCACTTGGCCGAAAGTGGTGAACTGACGAATTTGATGAGAAAACATTCGTTATCCAGCAGTTTGTAAACAAAGAAAATGATCGTGTTTACTTGCCAAAGAAGTCAGCTGAAAATTTGCACCTTCGGTTGACCACCAGAACTCATGATGGTGTGGGCCAAAAATTTTGGCCGCAGGCCTTGGACATTCCAAAAGGACTCAGCACGCGCCACCCAAGAATGGTTACAAAATGAGGTTTCTCGCTTCATTTCGAGCACATAATGGCCACCAAAATCTCCGGATACCAATCCGTTGGACTATTGTGTCTGGAGTATTTTACAAAGCAAGGTTGGTACTAAAAAATGCCAAAATGTCGATCATCTCAAGCAAGCGCTTCGCTGGGAATGGACCAAAATACCGCACAGCAGTATTCGGGCAGCGTGTGACGTTTTCATTGGCCAAAGGTGACCAATTGGAACAAATCTAATCTTATTCTAAAATTTGATGCTATTTCTGACATTTTTGGCTTTCGTTCAAAAAAAATGTATTTTTTTTTTTATTTTTCTAACTTAAAATAATGTTAATTAATGTTTATTTTGGTGTAGCTACTCAATAAAGATTTCTAATTTCAGTTAGTAACGTTTCAGTCGCATTTTCAGCACAATCATGCAAAATGTTTAACTTTATCCGTGCTCTGATCTCATGGAGCGTAACAAGGCAGACTTACACAGATTTTCTCGATTAACTCTCAGTTGCCTTATCTAAATTTTTCAAATCTTAAAAAAAAAAACTTTATGGGCATATGTGTGGCGAAATTGCTATGCCTACTCCTTTTATGTGTCAAATTCTCTACAAAATAAAAAAAATGTGATTGAGAACATACGAACTTGCCGTCTCTTTCCCATTAAATTTGTTTGTGTATTCTCCGACTGACAGACAGACACAAAGACGGACAGCTAGCCATTCTTTTACTGCGTGATTCCGCAACAGACAAGATTATCTTTATTTTGCAGATTGGAACCACCGAAAATGTTAGCGATTTCGAATCTGCTGTTTCACGTTTATGTTTCTGTTGTCGCAGTCGTCGCGTTTGGCTTTGCCGACTCACAGATGATAAAACAAACTCAATTCACGTGATGATTAGAAATAGTATAGCGACTTTTGAAAAAAAATTTTTTTTGGCTATCTGAGGCAGTTTTCGTGATTAGCTTCGGAAAAGAAAGTTCGGCGCCGAACGTAGTGAATAAAATTTAAAAAAAGTGAAAGATGTTTGATTGATATTTTGGAGGCGAAATTATTTGAGAATGATCTTTTCCGGCGACATGTCTCATGCAAAGCTCATATAACTTTCAACAAATCGGAGGGTATATAAAAAAGAAATTACATATGTTTGACCTAGAAGTCAAGTGCCTTAGCAAAGTTATATTAATGTGTGATTTTGTTTGTTTAATTGATTATTTGGGACCTACACAATATACATATATGAAATATTCGGCTATCAGTATTAGGTATGTAATGGAAATGGATGTATTTGTGCAATCAAAAATGATTAAATGTCAATGGTCTTTGATAATAGACATATATTTATGGGCAATGGGTTTTGTCAAAAGAAATATAGTAAATCGATTTATGCCAAAAATAGTCCAAATGATTTCCATCACATACCTGTATGTAAAAGTAATACAAAAACGTTTCCGGCATTGATGTTTTTTTTTTTTTTTTGGCAAACAATAGTTTTGCCAATAAAAATTTGGCAAATACAATGTCTCAAAATGTTGTCCCTTTGTGGGAGTGAATCGTCATTTCATATAGGATATACCATTTTTCGAAATTTTTGGCGATTTTGAGGGATGTACTAAAATAATTAAACTTACACATCACATTCTGACACTTGACCTAATTACAGTAGAAATATTGCGCAAAATCGGGAGTTCAATTCGCAGTTTACGAAATCTGTGACTTTTAAAAATATTGACCCTTTGTGGGTAGTTACCAGGACATGTGGGCTTATACTGTACGGGTTGCCCATATTCGACGGACCCATGTTTTTTTTTTAAATCAAAGAAAAAATAAAAATTTGGCGGTTGGCAATGTTAATCACTTAATTTGTTCCAAGTAGATTTGTTTGCATCAATTTTTGAATATGATATCTCTCAAATGGCCGCCTCTGGCGTTGATGATGTATTGTGCCCTTTTTGCTGCATTTTCCATCGTTTTTGCCAACATTTCGGCCCGAATAGCGGCTATTTCTTCACGAATGTTGTCATTGAGCTCTTCTACGGCCCTTGGCTTGTTAACGTAAACCTTTGACATCAAATATCCCCACAAGAAGAACGCGGTGGCCAGTCCAAATCACCACTTTTCGACATCAAACGGCCCGGAAACAAATTCTTCAGAAAATCGATTGTTATGCGACTTATGTGAGGTGGTCTTGTTGAAACCAGAACTGCCTCATACGATTTCGACGAATAATTGGCATGACAAAATTGGTCATCGCTTAATGGTGTTCTTAGAAGGCGCACGTTTTTTAATGTTTTAAAAGCACGTTGAGTTTTCACAATTGACTTCTGCTGTTGAATGTAAATTTCAACTATTTCGCGTGGCGTGTATTGGTTCATAATAAAAATCTGCTTGGACTGACGCTTCAAACGCGATATGTCATTATGCGATGTGACATCTCTGTCAAAAGTTATGGCGTTGCCAGATGGGTCCGTCGAATATGGGCAACCCTGTATGTACTTGCACCTAAACTAAACAACCTAATAGATTTAAAGAACTCGTAGATTCTGTTCGATTTATGTGATATGTTTGATTTTATAAAAAGTTTGAGTGGTTCAGGTTTCAGAAAGATTGGTTTTCGATATCTGCAATAGATACATAATAAAAAATTGGGATGAGTGAGATTGGGAGTAATTGGGTGATTTATTTCAATTTTAAACAAATTTGGATATTTTTAGGAAAGACGGCGGCCGATTGTATGATACTATACATATTTTAGTATAGTAAGAATATTAAAATTCCATGTTTTTTAATCAAATTACAACTGGACGATTTCAAAAGGAATTGATCGATCTGATGCGATCCGATCTATCTCCAACTCGGTCTATGTTTGGTAGAAGTATAATTTCGTTATTTCTATGAGCCACACTCTAGCCCTATGAAAAGATTCCAAAAGATTGTCAAAATTGGCAGTCTTAATTTTATATTTTCAGATTATCTTCTTTAGTTTTGCTTAACATATATTATAGCTCTTTGAAAAATCTCATTTTATGTAGACCTTAAGTGGAGATACGATCGACGAAAACTTTGAACCCCTTTTCCAGCATTCCCAAGTACCAGATGCTAGGTCTTTGAAAACGATCTAAATTACATTGTGGTAAATAATAATAGATTCCAAAACTGAGTCATGACGAGTCTGTCTTCGTGAATAAAATCCATCAGGCTAGAACCCAAATTAGACCAACTCTGTTGTGGATGTCCGGAACAAGTGTGTGTGATAAACTCCCCTATAAAATTTAAGACATGGTAAATTCATCGATGGGACTATAATTTTTTGAACGATAATGCTTTCAACACATGAAATGTTATTGCCGCACCTGCAATTTCGAAAAGTGAGACTCTTGAAAATCAAAATTCTAAAGCAAAAATGCACCAAATCTTTACCAAATAATTGGTTGATTGAGTAAATTTTTCCAGTCGTAACTATCTTTAAATCTTCAAAACAACCTTCTAGGGTAAGTGTACCAGTAGTCGGCACTTTTAGAATTTTCACGTTTTTAATCGCTCACCATTCTGAGTGAACTTTTCAATTATTACAAAGTTAATTTATTCAGATTCGAAATTTTGTATAGTTTTTGCAATAATAAATAAAGTTTTAATAACTTTTTATTAAATTTCATAAATTTGTAGTTTTATTAAAAAAAATGCTTTTTTGCCAGTAGTCGGCACCACTTGCTAATTGTCGGTATGGCATGTTCCATACCGGCATACCAATTTTTTGTAAGAATAATAATAAATTATTTCATTAAAATATAATATTTTTGTTTAGTTAAACTGATTCGACGTCTTTATTGTACTTTTCTTAAGAATATGGATTGTTGAGGACCTTCACAGACAAAAATTTTTATTAGAATAAATCATCTTTTCTTAGCGAAATTGTACACAAAGATAGCTGACAATATATTTGAAGTAAACAAAATACATTTAGTTATAATAGTTTCATTTATATGGGCTTAAAAATAAAAAGTGCCGACTACTGGGACATGCCGAACCTAGGCACACTTACCCTATTATACCGTCAGCAATTCGTGGAAAATGAACACCGAGAAAGTTTGAACTTGTGAACATCAATTGTTGTTTAACGGATCGCATGTGCTTCGAACAACTCCTCGCATTTTCATATTTATGTTGTTTGCCGATATAAATTGATAAGAATAATTTATTGTTAGTTCGCTTTAGGCCATTTTTGATAGGATTTCGAGGTTGTCTTTTTGACAAGTCTTACCCCTTTGATTTGAAGGTATATTGACCTAATTTTCCAATCTCAACTCATGAAGAGTATATTAACGTTGTCATTCCATTCGTGTTTCTATTCTTCATGGTTACAAAATTGCCAGACTGCGTGTGTGTGCGTTTGTTTGTTAAAATATCGGTCCACGATAGTTTATCCCCCTTATAACGGTACTCTCTATAATCGGTATTTTGATGATTTCAGCCAATTTTTTCAATGGAATTGTCTTAAAATCCACAAAAGGAGTTCCTTTTGAGTACATTACCCCCTGGAAGAGAATTGTCTATATAGGTCTCCGAAATCATATATCCCCTATATAACGGTTCCTCCCGATATTCGGTATTTTGATGATTTTTGACACAATTTTCAATGGAATTGTCTTAAAACATTGTGTATATGGGTACTTCTTGATATTGCGTATTTTAATGATTTTAGCCACATTTTCCACGAAATTGTTTCGAATTTGGTATTTGAAACTTGCAGTAGATCGCAAACTTGGTAGCAGAAAATTCTATGTCGGTACCTCTCAATAATTGGTATTTTAATAATTTTAGTGATGTTATTGTTTCAAATTTCGTATTTGGAGATCTTAATGGGTTCTGTAGCCTCAAATTACGTTTGCATGTCCACGTCTTCGTACAGCCCGACCTCCGGATATTCGGTGTTTTGATGATATTAGTGACATAATGCACTGGAATTGTTACAAATATCGTATTTCAAGTTCGGAATCTATACTACAACATATGACAAAAATTTACTTATGCAAGTCCACGTCTTCGTATAGACCCCATATAACGGTTTTCATTTAAGCGGTATTTTTCAACAAATATTTTTTTCTGAAATTTGAAAAAATTTTTAATGGAAGAATTAAGTTTTCTATCTTCTGAATGGTACTTTGCTTTAATAGATTGCATTTGCGTTTTCGTATTTTTATACCCTCAGACATTTGATATGGCCAAAACGTGTCTCATCAAAATAACCGTTTTAGACTCCAGGTCCCTTTGGACCAAATCCGTTTCAGGACCTTTGTAGTCAGTCTAGGGGTGTCCGATAACTCTAGAAGGGAGTATCCGATTTGATCCAAACTTGGTACATCGTAATATCATTGTCAAACTTAGATCGAGTTCGGAGATGGGCAATATAGATCCATCCATCTGGTACCTACCCAAAAAAGGTGAACATTTTCACAGAAAATATTTTTCCGCATAAAACAAGAAAGGATCATCCAGCGAAATAGGTCAATATCGACCCACTCCATCAAGTACCTCCCACACAAAGGGTCAACATTTTGAATAATTATAAGTCTAGTAAAATACGAATTAAGCATTCGATTCATTTTAAAATTCACACATCCGAAAATTTTGAATAATTATATGCCTTATAAAAGGCGAAATAAACATCCGATTCATTCTAAACTTTACACATTCCAATATTTTGCCTAACATCTGTTGTGAAGATGATATCTATCATCGGACAACTTTTTCTGGTACCTCCCACACAAAGGGGTCAAAATTCTGAATATCAAAACGTTCATAAGAGCGAATTCTATTTTAACTTCACACATTCAAATATTTTTATCAACACAAGACCTGGCGTGATTATTTCCATAAAATTGGAAATAAATGTTCGATTTTCTTTAAAATTCTTTAAAATTTAAAAATGGTCCCTCAAGCGTATTTCAATATTTTACAAAAATTATTAAATGTCTCATAAAATATAAAGAAAGTGGTCGATATAGGCCAAATCTGGCATGTTATAATATTTATATAAGATTTTGTTCAGATACGTAATGGGCAATATAGGCCCCGCCTCTTCCCTTCCAACCTCTTCCAACAGTTTGAACAATCATTACGCAAGGCTGAGAATACAGGGTGAGATGAAAAAACTGCAACCAACTTCATACTGCTGTCATTTCTAAGCCACTCGTCCGACAGCTGTTAATTATTATTCCAGTGACAGCTCATTATATTGTTTACAAGCGTACGAAATCATTTTGGTGAGAATTTTCCAGAAAAAAAGTTATTCGTGATCGTGATTCAAGCGTGATAGTGTGATTTCTTTATATTTGGCTGGAAAACCACAAGTAGCTATCGTTAGATCACTCCAGCATTTAAATGTGAATAAATCTTTTGTGTCTCGTACCATTCATCCATCGCTCGTTACCGTCATAATTGTAGCGTAGCCCGACGTCAAGGAAGTGGACGGAAGAAAACGGCAACATCAGCAGAAATGGTTCGAAAGTAAAGAAGCGACTTGATCGAAACCCGCTTGCACATTCCAACAGGACTCAGCACCATCGCACTTAGGACGCGCCACCTAAGAATGGTTACAAAATGAGGTTCCTCGCTTCATTTCCAGCGCACAATGGCCACTAAAAATTCCGGATACCAATCCGTTGGACTATTGTGTTTGGAGTATTTTGGAATGCAAGGTTGGCACTAAAAATACCAATGTGCCGATCACCTCAAGCAAGCTCTTCGCGGGGAATGGGCCAAAATACCGCAGAGCATAATTCGGGCAGCGTGTGGCAGTTTCATTGGCCGTTTGAAGGCCATAATTCATGCCAAAGTTGACCAATTCCAACAAATCTAAACTTTTTCTATAATTTGATGCTATTTCCGACATTTTTTTTCATCCATTCAACAAAATTAAAAAAAAAATGTAAAAATTACGGTGTTTGACTTTGTTGCAGTTTTTTTATCTCTATCTTTATATAGATTCTCAAGCTGTATTGTATTTTTGGTATGTTGGCCACGTACACAAATGACACACAATTATGTCGATGACATGGTGCGCTATCATCGTCGATATACTGTTTTTATAACTTCCACCATAGTATGGAGGATAAATTAAGTTTGTCATTCCGTTTGTAAATCCTTGAAATATACATTTTAGACCCCACCAAGTATATATATTCTTGATCAGCATAAAATTCTATGTCGATTTAGCGATGTCCGTCCGTCGTCGTATAGACCCTAATATAACAGCTACATTCGATATTTTTAAGATTTTTAACGGATTTTATTGTTTTGAGAATTGCCAAATTCGTTCCAAATGGTTGAGGGTATTCAATGTTCGTCCCGGTTTGTTTTCTTTTTTGAGAACGCCATGCAAATAAATGGTCGACTCGAGCATGCCACGATCGAACTTTAACAGTGATAGATATCAAAATGAAGGTTGTTGTTGGGTGCCATTGTCTATCAAACACTTGGCACATGATTGAGTAGACAAAGTCGGTGTATCGAAAATAACACAGTTTGTCTTGTGCTACCCTTTAGCATGTGCCTACGAAATAGCTAAGACCTAATTTTACCACCAACATTACGCAGTAACAAATCAAACACTTCTTAATAATATACATGTATTTTTTCCACTTTTTTACAGAGTGTCGTACTTGAGGGAAAGTATTGGAAACGCCAATTGGCTGTCATCAAAGCTGAGTACAGAAAATGGAGAAGAAATTATAAATCAAAGGTGACGGGATGCCTCATGTACGATGTTGTAAGTACTTAAAGATCTATGTAACAACAAAAACAACAAAAGATAACTTAAACAAACTACATTTGTATTGACACTGACTGGTAACCGTTTCAATTAACTGCCCTTTTAATGGAGAGTCTTGGTACTGCTTTCCAATTCTTTGAACTGTACCAACACAACCATGTATGTAAAAACCGTTGTGAATAGCTGTAAAAGAACAATTTTTGGATTAAGTAAATGTATTTTGGCAAATGCAAAAGTATTTTGTCTGTGGACAAACCTTAAAGAGCGTACTCTTGTCCAACGAAAAGAATCCATAAGCTGTCAAGATCGGTTTGTGGCGAAGATTCTTCAATAGGAATTTATCGATCTGCAATTGGAGAGAATTTCTAATTAATAATTACATTCTATTTGAAATAGGAATAGAAGTTTGTATCTCCTTAACTAGATGCCGATGAAAATAAAAAGTTTTGATTTTCAAATTTTAAATATACTCTTTTAAAAAATCTTCAACTAAAAAAATATTTATTCTCATAGAAGACTATTATTTCTATAGAAATAGGTCTGTAAATTTTAAATTTAAATATAACTTACAATTTTATTAACACTCCTGTTCTTATGTTTTCGATAGAATATTTGCAGTCTTCTTGGCCTGTAAACGACGAAATGGGAGGGGAATTAGACACGTTTTTTTCTATCGCTGTGAAGCCCTTCTCGTTTTAGGGAATAAAAAATACCACAAAAAGAATTTAGACAAAGATTTGGAGAACATTTGTTGTGGATTGAGAGAAAAGGCAAATAGTTCAACTAGCAATAATTCGAAGAATGTCGTATTGAATTTCTTACTGGAAATCTCACGAGGAATAATACTTGTTTGTCGTAGAAATTTTAGCGGGGCTGTTAACATTGATAGTCTCTCTTGTGACAACAACGAGAATACCCGGGCCCAAAAAAATATCACGCTACCCAAGGCTAAGAGGCTTATTAAGTACTTTTTGGCAACAGGTGTTGCTTACCAACCAGTTTCAAATATATCAAAATATAAATTAGAAAAATAGGAAAATATTCCTGTTATGTTTACAATAAGGGTGGTGAATTGGCTATTTCTTTCACCATACGTGAGGTTTCTATTTTTTATCGATGGTGGAGTAATACATCTGACGCTATACCGCGATTACTCGTGAGAGAAAAATATTTATTTGTGCTATACGTTTTTAAAGATTAAAGATTTATTCGTTCTCCGATCCCAAAAAAATTCCCGAATTAAAAGGAAATTTCAATAGCATATATTTAGCAAGCGAAAGTTATATCCATGACAAAATTACAGAAGATAGAACAAAGCTACCACCTAAATACAATATTTTTTCTTTTGGTGCTCTTATTCTGTCAAAACATATAAACATTTTGTGTATGTGTGTGTATTGTTTTGAATAAAAAAAAACAATAATTTGAAATTATTTCAAATTCGGTTGCAAAATCTATATATATATATAAATCAATTGTTGTTTGTTGGTAACGGAATCAGTTGAAAACGGCTGGTCATACCCCAAATACTGACCACGCCTCCTTTAACGCCCACTATTATGATTTATCTAAAATCTTTATATTTGCCAAAATAGTGAAGATATCGGTTTGAGAATTATTATGCGAGATACTGTTGACTTTCCCTCCAAACTTAGGAATTTATTTGGGCGCCAGGGAACTGACCGCGCATACTTCTAATCTGTCTATATATAAGGAAGTTGTGTTAGTTACTACGCTTGTAACTCAAGAACCGCTGATCTGATTTTAACGATTTACACAAATTCGGAATTGTCTCTTGGCAGAAAAGGATAAAATCCAAAAAAAATCGCGTTAAAATGTGAAATTTTAAAATTTTCATTTTGTCTTTTGAGGTGTACAATAGTAATGTTTTATTTTGCATGATTTTTTTCCATTTTGACTTACTATTTTGGAATGTACATTTGTAGTGTTTTTTTTTTTTTTTTTTTTTTGAGTTCTAATATGATGTGTAGTCTTTTTGGGTAGTAGAAAGCGACGAAAATTATGGAGTGGCGGAACTGAATAGATGATGTCAAAATAATTTAACGTGGTAAAACCAAAATTGCTAAAAAGTCAAAAAAGAGCATATTGCACTGCAAAAACTCTTAAATAGGGAAAAAACTGAGAACATTTTTTCAATGAAATCAAATTTCAAAATAATAGTAAGGACCAAACTTCGTAAGAACCTTTAAATATTGGCTGTAAAAAACCAGCGAACAAGTTGAAGATTTTTTTCAATTTGTTTATTAGTTACTATGCTTATAACTCAAGAACGTTTTGACGAATTTTCACAATTCATACAACTTCGGAATGGAATCTTGCAAAAAAAATTGCCAATAAAAATATAAAAGAAGAAATCCTTTTGGCGTGAAATTTTGTTCAATTTAAAAACTATTTAGAAGTGTACATTTTTTATTGTTTTGAATTCTGAATGAATAATATCAAAAATGAAAAAGTACCCAATACGATGTTAAATAGCGATCTTTCATGTCTGAAATTGGCATTTAGCTTTCAACTCCAGGATCTACATCGTGCTTCAGCTGGAAGATGCGAACACATTTAAATAAGCAAAAATAACCGACAAAACGTTATGGGGCTCATTTCAACACGTGGACCTACCTACTTCTATCACATGACAATAATCCGTCCAATGAGAACTCAATATGCAAAATTCATTGGGACTGCAATCAGTGAAATACGGAATATAAAGGGAAAAGGATTTCTATTCTTTCAGAAATTTTTCCTAAACTTTCACGATACCTTAAATCACTTTTGCAGTTTATGATATGGGCCATAACCCCCGGATAAGGATACAACCCGATTTCAAGTATATCTTACATTTTAACCATATTTTCATACTAATTTCGGCAAATGTTGGTAATTTGTTAAGAAACCATCTATGCAAAAACTGATCACGTTTTGTATAACCATCATATGATTTAGGGACCGGACATTTGTTTAATCGTCTTTGAATTATACTATGATGAAAGATATGGAAATTATGGGGTCTCCAACGCGCAATTTCAATGACAAATAATTCATATTACTTTAAAAACAATAAAAAAATTAAGTTCGGCCGGGCAGAATTATTACTATCATCCATCTGAGGGTAAAGGAACCATTTTTATATAAAAGTATCTAAATTCAAGCGTGTTTCACTTTAAACTTCATATACCAGTAAGACTGTTTGAATAATGCAGTTAACTTATCAAAAAACCACAAAGTGAATGAGGCCGTTATATGGGGCCATACCAAAACGGGAACCTCTGTGGACAATTTTATACTTCAAGGATTGTCATCTATTAAACCTTCTAAAATACCAAATTTGAAACAATTATACGCGTAAATGGGTGGATTATCAACATACCCAATATAGGTAGGTATCGTTATATGTGTTAGACAAATCCGAGGTGAAATGTGGCAAAAATCATCAAAATACCGAATTTCGAGAGATACCGTTATATGGGGACTCTATCACAACGTGAACCGATAGATTATTTCAATACCAACCATCCTATACACAATACAAAATTTTCGGCTAAATTTTGACGCTATACGTCAAATAATGTGGGCTGTATCGTAATTTAAACAAACAGACATATAGACGGACAAATCGACTTAGAGTTTTATGCTGATTATGAATATATATGCATATTTAATGGGGTCTATGACGAACATTTAGTAATGTTACAAATGGAATGAAAAGTTAATATACCCTCCTTTCCAAGGTGGATGATATAATAGCATTGAAGACTAAAATTACGGGCCGGCAACGCGTACCGGGCCAGCTAGTCTATTTATATAAAAATCAATTGTTGTTCGTTGGTAATGGAATCAGTTGAAAACGGCTGAACCGATTTTTTTTACGAATTTTTAGTTGTATTATTAATGTTCAAAGATTAATTTAAATATTTCGCCTTTATTGCGATTTCAACGAACGGCCGCATACACAGACGGATATAGATTAATTGGCATAGGATATTACACTGGTAAAAACTAAATAACTTACAACATGGTATTCTAAAAGTTACAAATTCAAAACTTTTGATTTGCAAAATATTGCTAAACCCTTTATAACGTTGATAATTGAGGTTTGAAAATTTTATTAAATAGGATGATATAACGAGTATAAAGTGGTATCGGAGAATAGAAAATAAATCGTAATGTGAAATTTTGTTATAATTTTTTTGCAGATGATTTATAAGCTCGAAAATGCTTTTGAGATCTTTAAAATACCTCAAAGCCTGTGCAACCTTTTTGAAAGACACATATTAAATTTGGTGACCTCTGTTGTAATTGCAAATGGTGAACGGAGAGGCTCACGGACATAATTTAATCGACAAAGATTTCAACTCTTTAACATACTTTATGTGGTCCCTAACCTTTTTAAACCGATGAAACTTTAAATTAAAGTCATATTGCCAGGATTTCAATTTAGAAATAACTATCGATTCTGAGGTCCAAAACTCCAAAAAAAATGGCTAGATATGGAAATAATCCACCATTGAGAACTCAAAATATATTTTCGAATCGATTTGGCATAAAATGTGTGTCTAGGATAAGTTGGGGGTAGTTGATGTATACTTTTTAATATATGTGTATTTGTTATTTATGTTTTTAACTGTCAAATTAAAACCTCTGAAAAATGGGATCAGGTTTTTAAAAAGGTTTTTGAAAACACCATAAGTCGCCCGGTACGTGAACCTGTATTGACATTTATGCGATGCGTATTTATTTCTACTTATTTATTTCTACTTATCATTTGTATTTAAAATTATGCCACTTATTTGAGCCAGATCTGTGAATTATTATGCTTTAAAAACTATGCATTTAAGACAAAGACATTGGGCCAGCTAGTAAATGTATATTTTCGACGTTAATGGGCAACATAATAATTGTTTTTATACCTGAATTGTTAGGAAAATATATAGAACAAGTTAAAAAGCAGTAAGTTCGGCCGGACCGAACTTTAAATAACTTCCACCAATTGGAACGAATTTGGAAATTTTCAAAAAATAAAATCCGCTTAAAGTTCTGTTAAAATTTTAAAAATACCGAATATATATTGGGGTCTATACGACGTGGACCTACATAAGCATTGGTTGTCATAAGCCATTACCATATTCAAATTCGAAACGTGAAATAAACGGTGAATAATGTAGCTAAAATTGTCAAAATATAGTATATAGGGAGGTAGCGTTATATCGGAGCTAAGATACGAAGACCTGGACCTGCATAGACAAATCTCTTTCACAGACTGTAGCATCCTTTTCGAACTTTAAATACGACATCTCAAACAATTTCGGTGAGTATTGTAACTAAAATCGT